CAATGGGCTCATAGCTTTGGAAAGTAACTTTATATTAAAGTGGAACCAAGACATGGTTTTTAGTATTGGAACGAGGGGATAGAGGTAAGCTGGCCATACACAACTTGAATTTCGGCCAATTCAGTGAGAAATTCCAGCTGTGGGTGGCCTTGCAAACACCACCCGGTTCAGCAAAAGTCAATTTAAAAAAATCGACTGAGCCAGGTGGAGAATTATTTGGTTGAACAATGACTGCATATTTCAGATGCAGTCACTGTTTGGGTATTCAGGCAGCCACGGGTGTCATTGACTTGAACATAAAGTACATCTAAATCAAGCACAGGTAGCAGAAGAACTCTCAGCATAGTCAGTGCACTTTTTAGTGAGGATGGGAGATCAAGTGTTTTTCTCTCAGTCAGCCCAGAGGGCTATAGAGAGAAATCTGTGTATTGCTGACTTTAGGCATACAGAGGTAATATCAGAGTGCTTGCCAGGATGATTAGCAGCTCTGAAGGCATTACATCTACTTGTAGATGGGGGTGTGGGAGCAAAGGAGATCTGTGATTAATGACAGATCAGGGTTAACGATACAGTACTAGATGCATGTTATCTTCACATGCACACTCATTTTCTATGTTTAAAACATCTCAACCAAGTTCCTAGTGGGACCCCTTTCACACCATGGCACCCTAGCAGCTGCGTAGACTGCTATTGCTATAGTTACGTTATGGGGTTGGGATGTAGGGCTTGGTCCATGTTGGAATACTAATGCGAATATTCTCTTTTACCATCTCCTCTGAGTTTTCCCCTGACTTTGGACTCAAATACCAAATCAAATCACCAGCCTTCTGCACTTCAGAGGCCTTTGTATCTATAGTTTGTGATTTTTCACTAATATGCCTGTTTAAATGGCTTTCATAGACTTCAACAGTATATTTTTCTGCATTTGTTTGTGCTGTACCATTTCTAAGACACAAAATTTCCAAAATTATTTGTTTTCCATGTGGCCTCATCTATTCCCTCTATAATGGCTATATATGTTGAAAAGAACAGAAAATGATTTATAGGAAATGCACCCAGGATCCCATTGCTGGAACTGGCCACTAAGCCATCTTGGCTGCATTAGATAAATAACCCCAGACTAACCAAATTTGTGTATGTATACCTTTAAATATCTATAATGTATTTTTAATTTAGCTAACATTTTAAAACAGACTTGTAGGAGTGCCTGCATTATGAGCCGATGGGTGGTAGGTGGAGGTCCATAGGTGAACTTACAATAGAAAGAAAGTTCAGGGTTGAGGTCACCAAAATGGAGATTTCACTAAGCAAATAGGCAAGAGGCTTCCATTGGATAATAGGTCTAGATTCAGCAACGTTATGTGCCCAGAAAATGAGGTCAGCTGACTACTTGAATATACTGAATGATCAGGTTTTTCCATCAAAGGATTTTTTCCCTGATGGCACATTTGGGCATATTCCAAGAGGACAATGCCAGGATTCATCGGGCTCAGATTGTGAAAGAGTGGTTCAGGGAGCATGAGACATCATTTTCACACATGGATTGGCCACCAGAGTCCAGACCTTAACCCCATTGAGAATCTTTAGGATGTGCTGGAGAAGACTTTACGCAGCGGTCCAATTCTCCCATCATCACTACAAGATCTTGGTGAAAAATGAAGGCAACTCTGGACGGGAAATAAATGTTGTGACATTGTATAAGCTTATCAAAATGATGCCAAGACAAATGCATGCCGAGATCAAAGCCAAAAGGTGGTCCAACAATATACTGTGTGCGACTTTTTTTGTTGGCCAGGCAGTGTATGTATTTCAATAAAGACTTTCCTTATGCTGCGCAGCCACATAGCACAGCAGGTGCAGGTGGATCACACAGGTATATGCATCAGTGCACAAAAAAAAATTATCTTTACACGTTTTGTATACTACGTATCGCAGTGATTGGCCAGTGCTGTACTTTTAAATTAACAAACCCCGCTGTCCTCATTTTATTTCTAAAATCTCCATTTGCTTGAAAAATAGAATTCGACCTGATATTGCTTTGATTCAGATCATTCGAGTCTCTGTCTTCAGTAATTGCACAACTGTATTTGTCAAAGTGTTCCCATGCAATTACCAGAGAAGTGTTACTGACACTTTAATTCAACTCCAGCTAATCTGTGTGAACCTTTTTGTTACATTATAAGACCTAATTAAGAGAAGCGTAAAATGAAAACTAAATAATTCAGAATCGGCCCTGGTGTAATCATCCATTATATGGGAAGCAAAACACTTGTTTCTGGAGTTTGAAGCCATCCTTTAAAGTTGCAATTATGCTGCTTAATGGTATCAAGCCAGTTTTGCGCAATGTCAACTAAAATTTACTGAGCCCAAATATTAACTCCCTGCATTAAATTAACAGTGTTCTAGTACTTAGTAATACTTGCAATCTTGACTGGTTCAAATACAAAACACCCACTCTGTGTGTGTGGGCAGGAAGGTAAGTAGTGGGAAACATTTGAGAAAACCCAAATCATTTCGAAAGTTTCTGCATCATTGTCTCCTTAAATGCTGCATGGCCAACCGGGGGAAGAAATGGATTGACCATGACGGATGTTCTGGAACAGTACTGTTTTACCCAAAGACAGGCTGGTGCCCCTCCAATCTCTATGGGCACAGACAGGTTCAACCAATACAAACATCAATGTTTAAAAACATTAGTATGAATAAGCGTTTAGCGGCCAGAACACACATGAACAGTCAGCAGCAATCTAGTGTCTGAAGATACCTTAGGGCAGCACAGTGGTTTAGTCCTGCCTTATAGAACTAGGGTCCTCGGTTTAAATCCCAGTCAGGACACTTAATGTAGTTTGCATGTTCTGCTCGTGCTTGTGTGGGTTATCTCCCACACTCCAAAGGCATGCTTTTAGATTTATTTGCCCTTCTAGGTCCATTACGGCTGCCTCACCTCCTATCTACCCCAAAACCGATTTGATTTCTCCCAGTTCCCTGGGAGAAAAGCACTACAGAAATATTAATTAATAATAAAGTGATCCTTTGGTCACGCTATGGATAGTCAAGTATTTACACATTTTAATAAGCAGTAAATGTGCTTTAAAACAATCCTTCACTGACCTCTGTAGCTACAGGCACTGTAGAGCAATTCTTCCTCATTCACAGCAGAAATACTGAAGTTGTTTAAGTTGTTTTCTCAGCAGCTCAGCCTGCACAGAAGACAGTTATTACCTCTCCCATCGCCCATACCTCTGATTTCCACTGTGATGAAGAAAAACATCACCACTAAAAGAATCTTCAGAGTCAGACATTTGCAGAATGTTGGGTGTCTGGTGCCCTGCTACACTTAGTGGGTTCTCCAGATGACCCCTACGTCACTGATGTCTTCTGTAGTGATTTTAGGAGACAGTCAAATGAACCATCGAGTGCAGATTGTGACCAGGCACATAGGACTTTAAGAAGAGGCAGATTCTAAAGATTCTTCCGGGGCATCAAGTTCTCTTCAATACAGAAGAAATCAGCGGCGCAGACAAAGGGGGGGCGGGGGGGAGCTATTAATTGTCTTCTTCGCAGGGGGGAACCTTTTTTTGCAATTTTATTTTAAAAGACAAAGTTGCTTTAGAGCTCAAGCCTGGCAGACTTGGAAAAAAATACAATGGCTTCCTACCTGCTTTGCATGAAAATGCTGTTCAATAATAGAAAATACTGTATACACCGACCTAATCAACAAGAAATAGCATCCAACCCCCTACCTAATAAGCAAAGCGCAGGTTTATCTCAAGATGAGAAAATCCTCATCTCCCATATCAATAATTGTTTTCATTCCGCTGACTGCTATCTGGAAATTAGCAAATATTTCATACGGAATCAGTTTTGAAGGTTCCTTTATGAGTACACAGAATAGAAAGGACCCCAATTAAATTCCATACAAAGTGCTGCCATTTTGTGAGGCGAACACACCTCGGAAAGGTCACATTCTGATCTTTTTATCGCAGCTGGAAAATTAATTACTCCGCTGACATATGTCAGAGTGATTTTTATAACAGAGCTGAGCTGGGCCGGAGTTAGTCATTTCGTCCATTTGTTAGTATGCAAAACCGCCTCTCATTGGCATGAAAATGTATTCATTAATTTCTGAGGTCTAGGGTAAGTCAGGGCGACTTGTACGCCTTTGTATTATATCCGCATGTTGATGAAATCTGATGGAAAAACACGTGTTTGGTAGGCTAAAAAAATCATGACGGGATAATGCTCTTCTGGATTATTTAAAAAACAGCTCCACTGAAAACTTATATATCTGTCTTTTTGGTTGTTAGCAAGCTGAACCACGAGCTGGTTTTCAAGAAAACCAGGCTATGGACAGTTGAGTATTTACATGTTTTAACAAGCAGTAAATAAGCTTTAAAACAAGTCCCCACTAACCTCTGTAGCTGCAGGCACTGTAGAGAAATGCATCCTCACAGCAGAACCATTGAAGACTTCCAAGTTGTTCTCATTAGATCAGCTCCCCGCAAACAGCAGTATTCAGTAGCTCAACTCACCCTGCTTCCCCGCTGAGCAATGACTTGGCAGTGCTCAGCTAACCCTGGTTCCCCTTCCCAGCAAAGATTCAGCAGTCTAGCTCCCCCTGCTTAGTATTGATTCAGCAGTTGAGCATTACTTGCTTCCCCTCCCAGCAGTAAGTCAGCATTTCAGATTCCCTCGCACCCCCTAGCAGTGTATCATTAGTATATCCCCCTCTGTTGCCCCCTCAGCTCAGATACCCTGCACCCCTCTCCAAGCTTTGACGCAGCAGCCTTCCTAGCTTGACTACATGAAAGGCTGGGATTTGAATATGACTTCGGCTGCCTCTTGTCCTACTGATTAATTTGCTACGCAGTTTTTATTTTGGATAAATGCTGCTTATATATTCTTCATCATATGATCAGATTCAACTGCGTGGGTTAATGAACAGTTTACTTCACCAGCCTTAATAAACTGTATCATGGAATGAAAATGCAATGACTTACCTCTCTCAGTACTGTGCTTTTATACCCTCGATATAGACCCCTTATACCCTGCAAAATAAAGGCAACAGCTGACATCATAAGAATGCAAAGTCTATGACACAAGCAGCTCTCTGCTCAGTTATATAGAGATACAATAGTCTACAAACATCTACAAAATCAACATACCTATCTCCTAAGCTACATAAAAAGGTTAATGTAGGGGGGTGAGGGGAGCTGGAACAGCACAGACAGTAATTAGATACTCCCAGAATAGGAGAGGACCATGATGTGCAAGGAGGGAGGGGCAGTCCTAGGGAACTGACTCTTCCTGGAGTCGTCAAATTTTCTAGCAAGTTCAAAGGCACGTTGGAAGAGAAAAAAAATAATGTATGGAAAGGAAAAACACTTCAAGTAAGAATTTAAAATGCCTGATCTGTATGTGCTATTACATGCATTTTTTTGGTTGTTGGTGACAGGGTCTCTTTAATAATTTCTAGACCAGATTGTGTCCCAGTCTGGAACTTGGCATGTACAAAAACTATGGAAATGAAAAACACTGCAAGTAAGCATTTAAAATACTCATTTTTTTCTGTGCTTTTTATTGCAATTATTTAAGTTGGTAATAGGGTCTCTTTAAAGGGGACCTTTCACCTCAATGGCAAGGTTCACTTATTCAAATTGACTTCCCTAAAACACTACATAAATGTAGTGAAGTGCTAGGGCTTGGTTCTCCCAAGTCCACCCAAAACTGTCACTGACACCCCCCTCCAGGCCCAATCAGTTCTGGAAGGGGAATTTCCCACCCCTTTGTGATGCGTAGCTTTGGGATGGGGAATGCCCCTGCAGGAATAGGGCCCAGGGATCTTGCAAGCAGGGAGGATGACATCAGCCCCTGTCAGGGAAAGGTCACTATATTATATATATTTTCCTTTCCACGTTTCTTTTATGCACCGTTTTAGGGAAGGAAGGGGGCGCCTTGAAAAACCCAATCTTGCCACTGAGTTGGAAGGTCCACTTAAGGTTGGGATGAGCTGCACCCTAATGTATAGTTTTATTTATTCACTTTTGCTTTGACACCAAAATCTTGGATAAATGTTGGATCAGCCAAGAAATAGGTCTTAGTACATCAGCCTTATCCGAAATTCTACAAACTATTATCAAAACGCACCTCATGGTGCAGCGTGGCGGCAAACATCTGGTACGTAGTGGAGGAAGGAGACACTTGTGCCCTCTGCTTGACCACCTCAGAGGGAACACGAATAAGGCAAGCAACCTGGAAACAAAAATCAAAAGGTTCTACATTGGTTTAATTTGATGTAAAGTACAAGCTTTTTGTAGGATCAGGACCGTTCTTATAATCAGGTAACCCTAGGTGGTTGCCTCAGGTGGCATCTCATAGGCTCACGTGGGAGGATGGCGCTTTGTGGCCAGAGTGTCCCAGATTGCTCAGAGCTCTTAGCAACCTGTGAAGCTCTGGCTGGCATCCCGACCAGCTCCTTGCAACTTCCCCCCTCTGTAACATGCACCACCAGCAGGCCCCTTCACCTATCCACCACCTACCCCATCAACCTGAACCACCAGCACACCTACCCACCAATATGCACCACCAGCAATTGCCTCCCACACACAACAGCCTCAGGCGGCAAAAAGGCTAGGGACACCCCTGTGTAGAATTTTCTAAAATCTGTTAGAATGCAGATTGTTGGACCAACTTTGTACTTCAAACCTCCATGATATCGAGTGCTGTTGTACACCGCACTGGAAGAGACTTACATTTGCTGAAATTTACCTGCAATCTGGGTGACGGTGAATGGCTATTGGTTACAGGGAATTGTTCTGGAGCCAACCAGGGTGGTCCTAGCTGTTGCAATGAATGGCCAATCATTGCCTTTGCTTTTACTTTTGTATAGAGTGGGCATGAGTTAAAAAATGCTCCTACGTTTTTATTGCTTACTCTTTCTCCAGTGGGGAGATTTTCTCTTACTTCCTAGTGGCAGGGTATAAGAGCGACAGGAAGTGATGGAAAAATGTATCCAGCAGGGACAGAGAGGAGAAAAAAATGTATTTGTAGTACAATAGGGAAAAGGGTAGTACCTCCGTTAGGCCTGTGTGTGCCGCCCTGTTCTGGTGAACTTATTTCTTGATGTCACAGGGTTTCACTAGGACCCACAGTGAGAGCAAATCTGCCCAGTGCCATCACAGACAACTAAAGGCCATCTCCAGGAAAATACTAAATTGCTGATTTCACTGTACACTGTAAGAGTCTGAGAGTGTGCATTAGAAGCTGCAGCAAGCCAGAGAGAGCCCGCCTCAATTCCTAGCTGGAGAATGCCCAGCCCTCCCCATCTGACTGTCCCTGACCACCCTTTTCATTCATTGGATTTCAACTCGTGCAAGCATCACAAGTGGACGTTACCTAGAATGGTCTACATGCAAATGCAGCTTGCCTAGAAACACCCACTTCTCTAGACGAGCGCCCACCATCATTTTGGTATTTGCATAACTCCTCCCACAAGCCAGGCAACTGTTTTCTCCAGGGCTAAGGGGTTTTGAGAGGAGTATTGAGGCAAGTTACTGCGATGTTTTCAGGAAGATATGTACAGCACCCTGCCGACCCCTGCCACCAGCAATGATCTGCCTAAATTCATTGAGAAGCACAGAAACCAAGTGATGACATCACTGAATCTAAAAAAAGGTATGTCATAAAAAGTGAAAGGTTTTATTCAAAAATATAATTAGCACGTTAAGGAGGAACCAAAAACGGCAAAATATTAAATCAGATTAAACTTCAACTTTAACTTATTAGAGGGAAATCTTCGAATGGCTACGCTTGTTCTGGTTACAACTGTTTACGAGCAGGTTCCCCTTACTTTGCAGAGATGTCCTCTTATTTCCTGTTGTGTCTACAGGACAGGAAGTGAAAGAAAATGTCCCCAATGGGACACAGATAACTCGATTCAGAATCATTAAAAAAAAAAGAAGGTTTAGCTTTAGATATAAGCTAGGTTTGGGGTTAGTCTTGCTTGCTCTGAAGAAATTATTTGGGCGGTCAACAGAAATGACAGGCGGTCAACAGAAATGAATGAAATCAACCCTTGGCCTTTGATACAGCAGCAATTCTGTTAAGTACACTTGTACATGGTACACTTGGATGCGGTTTATGAAAAATAATTGTCGGTAGGATGTTCCAAGCATCCTGGAGATTTTGCCACAGTTCTATGCAGACTTTGGTCATTTTACTTGCTTCTGTCTCTGTAAGTGTTCCCAGATTGGCTCCATGATGTTGCAATCGGGGCTCTACTATTTTTGGCAAATGTTCTCTTTGCTGCAGGTATTTCTGTATGATTCTGGCCATGTGTTTGGGGACATTGCCATGTTGTAGAATGAAGTTGAGACAGATCAGATACCTTCCTTAGTACTACACCATGGATCTGAATATGGCTGTGTTTCACAGCAGTAGGGGTGCTATCACTTTCAACCAAATCAAGGGTGACAAGGGAGCAAGGAGCCGGCTCCCCGACCCATCAGAAAGCCATGCAGCGTGTAATGACTTGCCGCCTAGCTTCCCGATTGGTCGGGAAGCCGGCCAATCAGAAAGCCGGACTACAAGTCATTATCCGCCCCCCGGCTTTTTGAAATCTGGCTTCATGCTCCCTCGTTTTTGTTTTTTGTACCTGCCAACAAATTGTAATTTCTTTCCAGCCAGTCCTGATATTTACACATTCCAGCCTGCTGGGGAATTACTTTTCGCTACAGCAGTTAAAGCAATACAGCAAGGTCACCTCCCTGCTTACAAACTGTGATTGAACAGTAAGGGAGTAGCAGCAGAATGATCAGCTCATTCCTCTGCTCTCTCCTCCTACTGGAAGTTGCCTCGTCAGTACATGCAACACATCTGAATGGCTCCTGGTGCTGTCATTTCCTCTCCCAGCCAGAGTTCTATTGTGCACATGATTGCAAGAGGTTGAAGTCAAATTCAGGTACTTACACTAGTTGCAGCAGTAAAAACACATTTTATTTTTTAGTGAATATATAACTCCATGTTATTTTATACTGTAGGTGCCTCTTCCCAGTTATTGACATATTATTACCAGTCTACAAAAAAGGCTGCTGCAAGCATGTGCACTTCGTGTTTGCGGTTTAACTAGTTATCTGTATTTTGATGCCACACCAACGCATTCTTCGGGGTAAGGCATCACAAACTGACTACAAGTTTTGTAACTGACGAGAACTGACAAGGAATACGTCCCTAACACAACATGAAACCGTCCAACCCAGTAAAACGAGCCTGGAGTCCCAGACGTGTTGCTACAATTAGGCCTCTGGCGGAACATCTATGTTGAATTAAGTGGCGCGGTGTGCATGGCTGGTTGTGTGTTAAAAAGGCGCTCTGATTAAATGTGAACCGTGCAGTATTCCACCAAATAGCTTCTTGCTTAGCAGAGGCGCGGTATGAGGAGGGAAGCTTGTGCTCAGCGGAGTTGAAGATAAACAGAATAACACTGACCATTACATCCTGTCAACACAGATTTGGCCCCCTGTATGAATGTGTCAAAAAAATTAAGAACCTTCTGTGTTGCCGCTAGCAACTGATCTGATGCTTTATTTCATTTTTAAAGCGAGAAGATTTCAGAGATTTCCAGCTTTGCAGTTAAATTTGAAAATAAATCCTATATGTTTGTTATGTAACATAGTAGGCAAGGTTAAATAAAAGGCCAAGGTCCGTCCAATTCAGCCTATGTGTGTGTGTCTGTATATACAGCTGAAACTCGATTAGAATATCGTGCAAAGTTCATTTATTTCACTAATGCAACTTAAAAAGGTGAAACTAATATATGAGATAGACTCATTACATGCAAAGCAAGATAATTCAAGCCGTGATTTGTCATAATTGTGATGATTATGGCTTACAGCTCATGAAAACCCCAAGAACCCCAAATCCACAACCTCAAAAAAGTAGAATATTATATGCAATCAATAAAACAAGGATTGTACATAGAACAATATCGGACCTCTGAAAAGTACAAGCATGCATATGTACTCAGTACTTGGTTTGGGCCCCTTTTGCAGCACTGACTGCAATTACTTTTGCACGATATTCTAATTATTCGAGTTTCACCTGTATACATGTATTTAAGCACTCCCCATATCCTTTTATATTTAGTGACTAAAGAAACTCATCTAGAAGCTTCTTGAACTTATCTAAGATACCACTGCCTGTGGAAGGGAATTCCACATTTGTACTACTCGCACAGTAGTAGAGTCTTTCTGGAGTCTAAGATTGAACCCCCTCTCTTCTAACCTCTTGTTGTGTCCGCGTGTTCTCAATACAGTTCTCAGTGAAAACAACTTGTTCCTTATATTGTGGTCCCCATTGATGGATTTGAAGACTGCAGGAGGTTATTCAAAAAGGAGCCGAAGGATCCAGCCATAGCTTCGGCTGATCCTTCAGCTCTCTTCGGCCGCCGGAGCCCTTCAGTTCAGTCGAACCGAAGGGCTGCTGTACGGGCTATTCACTATAGCCCATACAGCAGCCGAAGGCGGCCGAGCCGAAGGCATATGCTTCGGCTCGACTGGGCTGAAGCGGGGAGAACAGCCTGCCGAAGGCTGGCCTTTCACCCCGCAAATGACAGCTGGGCGGAGCCAGCAATGATCTCAGGGCTTACTCTGCCTAGTTGTAATGACAGATAAGTGTCCCCAAATGACCTGGGGACGCTGAATTGCCATTAAACAATGACAACTGGGCGGAGCTGGTGAACGGCAGTGAGTGAGCTGCCGGAGCTTAGGCTCAGCCAATCCAGATGTTGGATCGGCTGAGTCGAAAACCTTCTGAACTTCGGCTCAGCCGAACATGTTTGTTTGTGAATAAACCCCTGCAATAAAGTCCCCTCTTGAGCTCCTCTTTTCTAAGGAGAATAAGTTTAATTGCTGGAGGCGTCTTCATAGTTCAGGCCTTCCATCCTTTTAATTAAATTTGTAGCCCTTCTTTGGAAATTTTTTCTACACAGTTTTGTATCATCGGCAAAAATGGAAATTGAACTATCTATCCCAATCTCTATGTCATTGATGAATAGGATAAACAGGATTGGTCCCCGGACCGACCACTGGGGCACCCCATTCCTGACTTTTGCCCAATTAGAGAATGACCCATTTATTACTACCCTCTGGGTCTGTTCTTGCAGCCAATTTGCCACCCATGTGCATACAATTTCATCCAAACCGACAGACTTAAGTTTGTGAATCCAACGTTTGTGGGGTACTGTATCAAATGCT